CCAGGTCTGCACTGAACTACTAGACAGTTACTACGGAAAAATTGTTTGGATTTTGCGTATCCTTTTTTAATGTCCCCCCTGCCAGAAATGCCCCAACTGTGAACCTCGGGTTGAGCTTACGATTTCTAAACACAGTGTAACTCTTAGTCATGCTAATTAGCTTGGACGTTTTGCATGCCATCTACAGCAGAAATAGCTTGGCTACACGCAAAGGAGGACACAACTTCTCCTGTTATTCACTTATACTGGAAGTAGCCATTAACACCTTGACTACATTAAAACAGGAACGTTCCTGCAGAGCAAAGTAGCTAGTGATTTGCGCTGGAAAAGGGCCCAACTTCTACAAGATAGCTTTTCAACAACAGGAAAACTATTCTCCAGGAAGCATGATTTGGGGAATAATTCTCTTTTAAAAACATAGGCCCATTACCCTTATTTACTGCAGTATGTGGAAAGCTTACAGCTATTTTATTAGAGGGAGGTCTCACTGTAATAAGTACTGCACAAGCACACACTAACCCAAATAGATGCAGCAGTAAGAAGTACGCAAAGACTGCGGTGGAGGGAAATAAACGTATACCTCGGCTGGCTGAAATGTTTTCTATATAGCATTTTTGGACACAAAAAATGAATTTTTAAAGAGCATTCCTTCTCTCAAGATTAAAGATTGGCATACATCATGGCAAACGTAGTCTGACCAAGACGACTGAGAACTCCCAACTGCGGAGATGTTTTAAGAGCTGGGTGGGATATTTCGATTTCTGGCTATCAGGTTTGGAGTTTGGCAGGTTTTTTTGCACTTTTTTCTAGATGGGAAAGAAGTGCTGACTTCTAGCCAAATTTTAATTGTTTTTTCCACTTTGCAGATCTGGCAGACCGAACAGCTTTAACATATTCACTTTAACTAAACAAACTGGGATATTCTCAGTGAAAAAGCAGCCCAGCAAAACATCCACAAGCCATTTCTCAGCTCCTTCAGATTTAATTTGTCTAACATACCAACTCCTAGAGAATGCCTATATTATATTTCTCTCTTCTTAATAGTCTGCTTTTGATAACTACCAAATTCAGCTCCTCTCTTTTTCTTGGAAGTGCTCTCCTTATTCTGAGATCTTACTTATGTCTTCCCCCATTAGCATTCACCTACTTCACAGTGCATTCTGTCTTTCTGTTAAATGTGTTTCCAGCTAGGATGAATGAGAAATCAAGGAGGAACTGGTGCGTGTGTGGATGGCAGGTTGTCTGCTACTTCATCATTTTTATATCAATGTAATGACACCTGCTACATGAAGCTTTTAATGGGCAAGAACACATAAGCGTTGTAGGATACGGCCCACATACTTGTCTCAGTGTCTGCTGCTTGCTAGGAATCGCATTTCTGCACAGTAGAGAGGTCTGCAGTTGTTTTAATGGTGCCTATGATTACTGTAGATAGCAATATTTGCTCTGGAATGGATTTTGTGCATTTGTTCCTTTAATGGAAGTTGCCTGTGATTCAGTCAGAAAGTGGTGATTTGTTTCACACTTTTAAATTCACTTCTTCCAGCCAAGCCACGCTTTGTCACAATGGTTGTTTCACAGCTGCTATGGCCAAGGGCAAAAAGAAAGCAGCAGGCTTGGTTCCCAACATCAGCTTCTCCCAACACCACCAGCTTCCTTGCTCCACAGCTTAGCAGACAGCTGTCTCACCATCTTACCCATCACATTCGGGAAAGGTGAAAAGAGGTGATAAGAGTGCTCTAGTATGTTAAAACATGCTGTTTTCCAAATTACCCCTATGTTTCAGTTGAAGCTGTATTACACCCACCTTTTATGACAATACCATGGGGGTCATTCATTATACCTATGCAACCTGTCTGGAGATTGCTCTCTTAGAAGCCTCCTCTCCAGCTTCTCCCTCCTGTAAACTACAAGAGGGGTCAGTTTCCCATAGCAGCTTTCAGTACCGCTGAAGTACTTGGGTATTTGAGCATTTCCTTCCAAAGGAGGGGAGTGGCAGAGATTCCACGTTCCCATCAGTCAGAAATAACTTTAAATCAGGTGATTTCTACAGTTTGCCTTTCTTTTAGAAAACTCTCTAGCTCTCAGACTTACTCTATTTCTGATAGCTTTCCATTAATGACCATTAAACCAGGTGAAGGCATCTCCATGACACGGAACTGCAATTCTTAGGATGGCAAAACAAACATGTAAGCCATATTCTGCATTTTTTGCACGCCAGGGGAAACTCTAAGCAAAGCCCCCGGGTAGCTCTTGTCTCTTGCAGCGTTGTCCACTAAAACTTCACCTAGCAGCAAGCATTACATTTATGTAAAAATTAAGTTACACAAATCATTTGAATCATTTTCTCTTCAGTTACCTAGAAATTCAGGATAATACCCTAAATAAACCAGCCAAGGAAATCTCTCTTCACACTAGACTGTGTATAAATTTAAGCTAGCAGCTCATTTTGGTCATTTTCTACTAATACTCCATGCTTTAATCACTTTACTATATCAGACAGAAAGATAGCTTCATTTTTGTAGGTGATATCTATTTCTGTGAGAGTTCATTACCTTATTCACTCTTGGCTTTTACGTTTTTTAGTTTAGAATGCTCATACCCATTTCTCCTAGTGATACTCTTTGCTTAGCGTTTTTGTTGCTTTTCTACACAAAAAGATTTTGTGAGAGTATTTTCATGGCCATATATTTGAACTGTGCTATTCTTGCTTTCCAAATAGCATGGCTGATCTCGCAAGAAACAATTACCTGGCAATATATACACGATAAAAACCTTTTGCATGGCAACTCACACCTTCCCAAAGTTCAGGAAAATCTTAATTAGCAGTTTTCATTTGGACTCCCAATTCTCTCATAAAGACGGTATTCCCACGTTTTCAGATTACATGGTTGGCTACGGAATAGGAGATTGACTAAAGAGAGATCAAGAGGTACAAGCACTGCCTTTGCAAGAACCTCTCCTTGGAGGACAAGGGCATATGCCTTAAAATAACTAGCCAGCTCTCCCTTTACTGACACAGATTCACAATAGCAAGTTAAAAGAAGGGTAGCTGGGACATAGCATTTATAGATCTGTGGAGCTTCTTGGAGAATCCAGCTGTAAGGGTAAAAAAGAGTGCACAACTGCAAAATCCATTAGCGTCATTCGGGCTTTACAATCTGAGGATGTTAAATAACAGCACCGGCTGCCGGCACCTTGATGAAAAGCAGCAGTAAAGAGTGGTAAGAGCAAGCAGATTTATTTCCATTCTGTTTAAACTGCTACTGCTGTAAATCTGAAAGAAGGACTCTTTCCTTTCCGCACTTGTTATGTAGTAGCAGGTACTTAAACAACATAAAGCACGTGGGCCCAGTTTTCTCCCATAACATTTCATGGACTTCAGAATTGTCTGAAGGAATAACATGGGATGAATCAAACTCATAGACTATATAGAACAGGAGTTACGTTCCAGTCCTGAGCCACTACATCACTCAAGAGAGTTAACCTCTATCCTGACCTTTTATATTGAATTTATGTGTGAGAGAGAAGTTGAATAAAATTTAGGCTGTAGGCTTTCAAAGCCCCAGGCTAAAAGTCTCCTTTTATTCCACAGACTAGGAGATTTTGTCAGACTCTTTCACAAAGATCACAAGAACAATAATCTTATGTTCCACAGCCAGAAAGCAGCTAAAAGGAACCTCATGACTTGCTGCTTCAAGGACAACTGCAAGCGATAGGTGGTGGTTCAGAAAACCAGCCACGACACAGATCACTTCAACCGAAGACCAAACAACTTTTATACAAGACTTTAGCGATGTAAAGCAACATAGTGCTTCAGCAGCCAGCTTATCAACCTCATCACTATGCGATTCAAAGGGCAAATACAATTCAGTGACGCTTTGAGCAAACACAGGCACGACAGTATTATGATGGTAGATGAAGGAGGGACATAATCAGGGCAGAGAGGACACTCAGTACCTCTGTGACTGAGAAGATACAAAATAATACAACAGTTTTCTGTACGAATGACAACAGAGGTCAGAAAAGAAAGACTGTTTCGATGTTACTGGGAAGGCTAGTGGTATGGCTATTAATGAAAAGTGAAAAAGAAGAAACTACAAAGTTTGACAGCTGTGATCTTGGAGAGCACATAAAAGCTCCAAGGTGAGGCTGCAGTGGAAAGTCTACTGCTCATCCTTTAAAGTCCATTCCATAAGATTACTGACGTCGGGCAAGTCTTGTCTCTGCCAGCTAAAACCTTCTTCGAGCTAGTCAGAAACAGGAGAATGACATCCTTTGACAACTCCAGATCACAGACCTCACCAACTTCTGCACCAAATACCAGATATACTTTTTTGACCTTGCCTTCCTCAACATAAAAGTTGACATACGCCAGCATGTATTTTTAAACAAAACAAAAACCCTACCAAAGCAAATATAAACCCTCTCCTGAACATGTTTATCCCACTTGTAAGAAAATAACCAACCCGTGACAGTTGTTAGTCATGCTGCCTGCTGCCACTGCTGGGAAACATTCAGGATATACACACACTGCAGTTACAACGAAGCGTGGAGAGACCTGAACAAGATTTAAACTAAAATGACTCGGGTACTAGTAGTAATCTAGCTGTGGTAGTATGAATTGCAGCATAACTAATTTGCACTATTGAGGGAGGGTGACTACAGCTTAAGACCTTACACAGTATAAGAACTTACACAGAACAAAAGTGCTGTACCTTGGAATTAATATACCAGTGTGATACAGACTGTCTATAGTCTTTAAAGCATCTTTGGGTTGTACCATAGGAAGAACGGTAAATACACACACAAACACCCCATTTTAAATGATAATGTTGCCACAACTCGGTGTTGGACATTACCTTTGCCATTTTCCAGACTGGAACTGACAGGAAAACAGAGCATAGCAACAGAACGTCCAGAGGAGCATCTGAGAAGTTCTTTCAGAGTGGTCTTGTGATTTAAGATGCACACAAAACAGAAGACTTCTGCGGCAAGTCTTAAATATTTTAAGAGAGAATTCTTTATTCACAGAATGCGCAATAACTCTTTCTAAACTATATGCAAAAATAAAACCCAAAATTCTAATGGAGATACAGGGAAAAAAAAGAAAGAAGCAGTGCAACAGTGTTCCAAGAGAATACATAATTCACAAGTTTAAAATTCAATCGCTCCCTTCCTATGCCTGGAGCTCTCTTAAAATATTAACAATCAAATCTCTTCGGTAAGTGTACGGGGTATACTTTATTCTGAACCAGTGCCTTGGGAAAAGGTTACCACTAGGGGCATATACTTTCACCCCTTGCTTGCCCATCAGAGTACGAAGAATCCTGTTGCGGGACAAAATTTTGTCATAAAATTCCACCCCACCTCTGGCGTAGTCTTTGGAAATGGTAGCTGCATTTCTATCAGCCTTGCAGTCTAGATGATAGGTCACAGCATCATAAGAAATGTAATAGCAGATTAGTCCAGCGGTGGCAATTATGAGGTTACAGACGCTGCGAAGTATCACGGGACCAGGATATAAACCCAGAAGTATCTTTATACCTATCCCACCGAAATATGTACCAGCTAAGCAAGCTGGAGCCACAGCTGCATTTGCTAAAGGACTGCCATTTTGCAAATATACAATTTCTCTGGCAATAGCAAATTTCTGGGCTTCAGGTGAAAATGTCAGAGCTTCCCTCAAAGCAACACCGTGACTGCTCTCCCAGTCTACTTCCTTGCCATTGATCACGACAACGTGGTTGACTATTGCTTTTTTATCCTCAACTGTGCTATCAAAATTAGGAGGGATGCCCACCACTGAGCCCGCAGGCAGCCACGGCATTCCAGCACTCACTGGGTGGAAGCCAGAAGCCGCAAAGGCTCGATAGGAGTTAGCGGATTTCACATTAGTATCTTGAAGGACATCATGAAAGACACCACAGAGCCTCTGGGAAAGCTCAGCTGGCTGCCCATCTGACCAGCACTCGTGTAACAGTTTGAATGTCTGCTCAGGAAACACATGATGGGAAAGGTTAGCACCGAACAGTCCCATGCAAGAAACAGCCAACAAAGCGGTCTTGTGCTTCTTAACCCACGCAGATGCCTTCTGCAGGAAGTGCACTCCCATAGCCAAATCCTAACCTGTTTACAACACAAAACCAGCAATTAAAGTATGCATAAACGGGTCTCCTGTCTCTGTAACATTTTAAAAACAAAACAAAACCCATGCGAAGCAGAGCACAATAGCCAATGAAACATTCTGCCTTTTACATAAAGGAAACACAAAATACCTCTGCAAAGAAAATACTAACTCTTGGACCTCAGAGCACAGGATAATTGATACAAAGACTTAACTTCTCCCTCTTTTCCAGTAAATCAATTTATTGTAATAAAGGGAATAATGTCACCATATTTCCTCCTCCTCCCAGCAATTCATTAATATACATCTGGTATTTACCCAACATACTTATGTATCCCTTCCCAGCACAATCCTACTGTTGTATTCCATGACAGACACAGACTGGAGATACTAAGGCCAGACAGAGCCATTAATTACATTAATCTACTGTAACCTCCTCTACAGTGCAGCTCCAAGAATTTTCCTTAGTTCCTCAATACTGACCTCAGTAACTCGAGCTTGACTAAAATACAATTTCCAGAATGGGATCATGTCTTGATTTGAAAATTTCAGGAGATAGAATTTGCCTTTGGAATCTGTTCTAATTATTAAACAACCTCATCATCTAAAAAAAAAGTAAAGAATGGTTTGTGCTGTTTCTAATTTATCAGATTTCAACTTCCAGGCAGTGGTTACAGTTTACTCAGGAAAAAAAAGTTATTTTCAAAAAGACACGTTATTTAAATTGCAACTTTTAAAGATTTGTCTCTGAAATAATTTCTCTGACAAATAACAAGTGAAATTCAGTGCACAAATTGGAACAGAAATTGTTTCAGGGCAGAAGACTATTTTGTGACTGTTTAAATAAGCAGATGAAAGAAAAAAAAAGATTTTCAAACCTGCCAACTTCTTCAGTTCAAGAGTCCTGCTTCCCCTGGGGAGTATCAGTTCCTTTTATGGTCCAAGCCATAGGATGTGTTCTGCCCAGGAAAGCTCCAATCTCTTAAAAAATCCCCATGACTATAGAATTCTCACCTAAAATGAGGCTACTGTAAAGATATAAAAATAAATCAAGCATCTAAACCCAAAAGGCATCAACGACAATTGTGTGCCCATGTTCCCACTTGCATCTTGCAATGTTTCTTCTCTCAGGGCTTCAACACACGAGCTCTGGAGAATCTTGCTGCAGCTGTTTAAGACATTACTATTTCCAGCTGTCCTTACAGGAAGCTGAGGTGGCAGAGGGGAAGCGTGCTTTGATTCAACAACCAAGGTCTTAGTGTGGAGTACCATCAAAGGTGGGTTTCAGCTATGCTGCTGGGCTTTGTACTGCAGCAGCTGAAACACAGACATATGTTCTTTCCTTGCACTTATGTTCCACAAAAACCTCCCACAGAAGGGTAGAGTGGACAACTGGGGGCTACATGCCAGGATACACCAGTCACGATCAACAGCAAATGAATATTAACCACAGAAACAAAAAAGGATTAAATTAAAGGTGATGTTTTAACGATATGTTATTCCTACTCCTTCCTATGAAGCTCTTTCAGACTGTAAGTTCACCAGGGGAAGAATAATCTTGTTTAATGTTTGTACTGCACTGAACACATACAGAGTACGTAATAAAAACACACAGAGTACTTAATAAAAACAGTGATGCATGTAAGTATACAACAGTATGACATATATTTCTTAATATGATATATGATGGCACGCTTACATTCTGCTGAAGACTGGAGGTGGTGATTTGCTTGACAAAGTTAAAAAAAAGAAACAAGCTAAGGAGTCTAGAGCTTGGAGGAAACCCAATCTTGGGAGAGAACAGCCTTGGTAATGGAGCTAAAAAACAGAAAATGGTAGTAATACAGAGTGCTACACCTGGCCAGCACTTAGCATGCCATCAAGGACCCCGGGCAGGTGGCAGCGGGGTGAGCAGCAGGAAGGCCGGGCCAGGCAGCGCTGCGTTTACCTACACCCTTCTCCCCAACAGCCCTAATACCAGCATACACCTCCACGGCCCCGTGCACAAACACCCCGCTTCCCAGCATGACTTTTTTTTTCCGGTTCAGTCAGAAAAACTGTAACAGTTGCCACAGTCCTTAAGTGGCTTTTTTTGTTTTGCTCTGTTTTTAGTTTTATTTTTTTAAACACCTGGTTCACATATGCTCTCAAACCTTTTTGGCTGGACCCCTCACAGCCCACAGTATATCCTGAAGGGAATGAAGCCCTTTGGTCAGGTCACATGCCTATTGCAGGAGTCTACACCATCAGAGAATCACTTCGTTTTCTCCTGATAGTCACTACGCATGAAAATAAAAATTAGTCCCAGTACAGTGTTTTAGCCCTAGTGCTTTCAAATCTTCCCCCAAGCTCAGCCCAGATTAGCTCACGTAAAATCACACCGCAGCCCCAACTGCATGGGGCACCTTTCTCTTTATCGGCAAGTCTGGTGCCACTTACTTACAAACCCATACGGCGCCGTACACGGGCTGTATCCTGCAAACTGGCATTCACTGGCTAGCGGTGGTAAAGGCACCTCGGCGTTTCCCAGCGGGCCTCCCCCAACGCTGAAACACTGCTGACTGTTTTTATGGGCCCACTGTAATCATTCCAGCCACTGGAGCCCATGGGAATTTTAACAGCCCAAGTCCCAAGCCGGGCTGGTTTTGCCCTACTACCAGAACAATTTCTTTGTTTTCCCCCCTAATCGAGCAGGCGGAGTGAAACAGCCAAAGAGATTTTTTTGGTGGGCGTTTGCTATTCTTGGCCAACAGCAAAACGGGCTTAAAAACGAGCATTTCCCTCGCAGGGCCCAGCCTCGCCTCCCAGAGTGGAGCCACCACGGGACACGCTCGGCTTTGAAATAAAACATCTCCCCCCCGCCGCAGGCCCCAGACCTGCAGAGAGCCGACACCAGGCGCCCCCTCAGCTTACAGCGTTACATTATAAATCAGGAAAGGGGAGGGGGCGAGGCTGTGCCCGCCCGCAGCGTTACAGGATTAAGAAATAAAACTGGACAAAAAG